ACTAAACAGTAAATAATATATTAGAAAACAGCAGGAAAGCAATCAGCTGCCATGAATATAAAGGAAGCATACAAGAGAAAGCCCCAAAACCCCAGAATGTGAGTGAAACCAAACTTACATGCAACTGAAACAAAATATGTCTTCCATATAGTGTGAGTGCAAATTTTTTCTGTTTTTATTTCTTTCTTTCTCCCTGTTGTGGTAGAGCACTGAAACACTTTCTGCTGATGGGCTGTTGGGGACTGACTCATTGCACACTCAGCATGGCTCAAAGGCTGAAGAATACAATAGATGAGAAGGGGAACCATGGGAACAGGGCCAGAACATCTCAAAAAGATAACTTGTCTGTCTCCAGGTGGCCTGTGATCTACTTGGTATCCTGCCAAGCAAATGCACCAATAACTCCCTGTGATAACGTTGATCTTCTCCTGGCAGTCTTGTAAGAAAGTGTTCCTAATCACACAGTCATGTCTGCTTCCATTTCCACCATGTCCTTGTGCCAGTAGCTGCTTTCTGGCACCCCTCCTCCTGCCTCCCTCTCCTAGTAAATGCCCATACCCCATGCAGCAGGTCATTCCTCACCTCCTTCTTTTGCTGTGGGAACTCTGGACCCTCCAAAGGCATGTCAGCAATGAGTGCTTCACCTCTTCCAGGAGATAGGATCCACAAAAAACAGGGAGGTAGATCATTATTCTTCTGTTGAGGTTAAAAGTAGAACTTACACTTCTCTAATTTTCTGAGTCACTGGAGAGCGGACATTGTAGATTTTCCCTTCTGGTGCTTATAGTCATTCCTTCCTGCACTGGTGCTGCTATATTCCTTATTTCTCTCCAGGAAGACAATAGCAGGGAGGATTAATGACCATGTGGAATTAGTTGACAACAAAGGCATAGTTGTAAGACTTTTGCTCTGCTGAGAGTGTTTGGGATTCTTGCTGAACTAAAAGCTCTCCTGAATGTTATCCTGGCAGTGGGACAAAATCTGGGCCAGTACAAACCTGACACTAAGGTGGGATACAGCAGAATAGAACTACCACATGTGTGATGGTGTTTCTGTAACCTTGACCTTTCATCCATTGTACCAGATGGCTATGAATCACTTTGACAGTGCCTTGGGCTTAATATCACTAAAGGTCATGCAATGTACTTACTGTCTAAGCTGCCTTTGAAAAGTACTCCAATATTTCACATCTAGT